AGACAGGGTCTCACTATGTAGTTAAGACTAAACTGGAACTCACTATGTAGCCCAGTCTGGTCTCGAACTCACAGCGATCCTCCTGCCTCTGCCTCCAGAGTGCTGGAATTACAGGCATGAGCCACCACGCCCAGCTAAAGGTACCTTGTAAGAACATCCAAAGGTGCTCAACTAAAGGTGGTCAACTTCAGATACCACTGAATGGCAAATATACAACAGCCTACAGCTGGGGATTTAGCTCAGTGGTACCACGCCTGCCTCACAAGCACAAGGTTCTGAGTTTGACTTCTGGTACCAGAAAAAAAATATACAATGCCCTCCTCTGGCAAAGCTTCAGGGAAACATACACTCTGTTGTACTGCTGGTGGGAATGCAAGGTGGAATTCTGCACCGTATGTTAACAAAACTACATATATATAGTCCCCTTTTACCCAGTAATGCAAATTCTAAGAAGTTACTATGATGCATGCTCCCAACAATATAAAAATACATTTGTGCAAGATTATTCTTTACTTCGTTATTTCTGATTGTAAAACATCAGAACCAAACTCAAAGCCAGAATATCTGGGGCTGATTAAGTTAACTGTAGGTTATACTATTACTGGAGTACTATGCAGCTGTCAAAAACAATGTAAGAAATCTCTGTGAACTAATATGTAATTAGTTCTGGCATGTTTTGTTTAGTGAAACAAGCAAAAAACAAGAGACTATCCAGTAAGTATTTTGTACAATAAAAATGGTAAATAAAATACACAAGTATCTGTCTTTTTTTTGCAAAAAAAAGAAAAACAGGAACGTTATAATACCCAAAACCATAGATACTGGTCAAATACAAGTATAAATGTAGGAACAGAGTACAACAAATAGAGTAAGGTTAGTGACATTTGTCTAGTATAACCTCTTGTACAGTTTTTACTTTCTTTGGGGTGCGGGGTACCAGGGATCGAACTTAGGGCCTTGCACTTGTGAGGCAGGCACGGTGCCACTGAGCTAAATCTCCAGCCCTAGTTTTTACTTTCTTGAAGCATATTAATATTTTGTACACTCAAAAATAATAAGAAAACACAGAAAGGTGAAGGAGAAAATTAAAGAAGAAAGCAAACAGAATGACACCAACTGTTTTTTTAAGAAAAGAACATGTATCATCGTAATACGATATCTTTAACTCTTTCAGGAAGATACCCAGAAGAGGTATGGCTAGAACAAACGGAATTCTATTTTTAGTTTTTTGAAGAATCTCCATACTGATTTCCACAGTGGTGCACTAGTTTACATTCACACAATGTAGAAGAGTTCCTTATTCCCTACAACCTCTCTGGCAATTTGTGTTTTGAGTTCTTGATAACCATTCCTTCTGAAGTAAGATGAAATCTAAGTGTTTTAATTTGCTTGAAATTGGAAAAATAAAAAAATGTGACAGTATTTGTATTGTTTATGAAATAATGTTAATCATACTTCCTGTTTTGCATTATGTTATAGAACTGTGTCAAACTATGCAAGTGTTAAGAGAAAATGATACAAATACAATTGTATCGCTCTATAAATGAAAAAAGTACAAATGCAAAACAAAGTTATACAAAAGTCTTTTGCACATGTGTTCTTGAAAAGCTATGAGTAAACTGAACTTTTATATTTGAAATCATATTTTCATTGTACTATGAGAACATTTAAAAAGAATATTATAGAATAACATTTCGAAATGTTAAAAAATATAAACTTCTTAAGTGTTTAAATCCAAAATTTCAGTCTCTGAAAAAAAATCATCTCTCACTTAAAATGTAATATTCTGGCAATAATCAGATATTTAGATAGGTAAAATATAATAATAAATCTTGTAGAATTGAGAGCAGTAATTTTGTTTTAAAATAGTGGTCAACATGCTAGGAAATAACTGAATTAAAAAGGCATTAAAATAGTGTACCATGAAAGAAAAAGAACATAACCTCTCTACAAGAAATGAACACAATATTCTGACTACGCCATCTGTTTAAACACAACGATGTGCAAATCCAAAACCCTAGATAAAAGGCTTATTTTTCAGTCTATGGGTGAGCAACTCTGAAAAATTCTATGTATTATGAATAACAAATGAGAGAATTTACTGAGGGAAAAGACGCTTACAATGGCCCTGTCACAGAACAGTCACAAAGAGAGAAACAGGAGACAAGAATGAATCTTATGGTGCTGACCTTAAAATGCATGAGGAGATACCAATACAGACTCATAGTTTTAAATTTTTTTTTTGGCCAGGTATATTTCTAAGTGTTTTATATGTACTATATTTATAGTTTTTTAATTTATAGGTAAGTATGTAACAATTGAGAAAATGTGTATGACATATAACCAAGATAACTAAGGCAGGACCGTGACATTTCTGTTTTTCTTAACTTTATTGTTTGAAAGGGAAAATAATTATCAGGCTTACATCTGCTTAGATCATTATCAGACAAGGTTACATCAGCCTAGGATTGATAGTAACTCTTCCTTATATTATAAAATCACTGCTTTCTTGACATGATGGCCTCCCAGCACCATTTTTCCTAGCCTCTGCCCCCAATAATGGCCACCAATAGCTTGTGTTTAAACAGACAGAGCAACATTCCCAAATCACCCCAACCAACATTTTCGTTCCAGTCTTTTGACTAGGCACTACATTCAGCAGTTGGCCTGTCTCCTAAGACTTGTTCTATACACCAACAACCTAAGCCTAGATTACCCTCTGGTATAAAATACAAATTATGAAAAGGCCCCTCTGTGTTCAGAAGCAATTCAGGCAGTAAGCAGAAACTTTATTTAAAAGTTTCAAAGGATAAGCAAATCTATTCTCAAAAGGAACAAAAAGTACTGAATTCCCTGTGTTTGGCACTGGCCCTGGTCCATACAGGAAAGAAAATCTGTTGACTGACTGAAAGACAATGAGCCATGTCATCTGGAAATACACAGGGATGCAAAAAGCCTCAATTGATTCACTAATGTTGTGGTACAGCATTCAACACAAAGACTTAGATAACTCAAGAAAACATACATTCTAAAAAACAATGAAAAAAGACTGTAAGCATTTCCATCTTTAGCACTATTCACAAATTACAACTAAATTTACAACTAATTTTCACAAAATTAAGAAAACTATATCATTGTGTCCTACAGGAGAATCAATGCTATTAAGTGAAATCTTACAGGAATGTTGTTACTGTGAAGAACCCAAAAAGATGAACTCATCAAAGGTATCAAGTAAAGAGTATACAAACCTGCAACATGTCATCAACCATAGTTAGTATGTACTGCACTGTCTGTTCTTTGGAGATATGAGTCATCAGGTTTATAAATGTTTTAGCACACTAGAAAAAAATGGAATTACTGTTAATTATTATTTTCATTTGCAAACATCATTTTAATGGAGCTTCAGTAAAACATTATTTCCCTTTCATAAAATAGGATACAAATGCTAATAGCCAACAGAATCATATAAAATGTGTATCTTTTACAAATATTGTGATGAAGTATGGGAGGATCTATGACCTGCATAAATCTTTTAGCATTTCTAGTGATAAACTTCAAATATTTACTTTTTTTTTTTTTTTTTTTTTTCCTTTTGAGACAGGGTATCACTCTATAATTCAGGCTGACTGTGAACTGTTCTGGTGATTCTCCTGGCTCAGCATCCTGAGTGCTGGGATTACAGGCATGTGCCACCAAACCCAGCAAAATGTTTGCTACTTTTAAATAGATACAACTAGCCACTATGCATTCTTGATTACACACGACAGTATAAAGTTAAAATAAACAATTTAAGTTATCATTGGATTTGAATATTTTACCCGATTTTCTGTATGTGTGCTTACAGTGAAGCAGAAGCAGAACATTAGAACAAGGGTACTGGAGGCCAGGCACAGTGGCACACACTTCTAATCCCAGTTACTCAGGAGGCTGAGGCAGAAACTCACAAGTTTAAGACAAGCTTGGGCAATAAAATGAGATCTTATCTCAAAAACAGATAGATAGACAGACAGATAGATAGGGTACTAGAGGTTGCAATCAGAAATCCTTCATCTGTGTCCATTCTATAACGTGTGACAGTGACTGTGGAATTCAATAAAAACCACTGCTAACGCAGGTTACCTACCAATTTTCGCAAGACTGTTGTGAGAATCAGACCAAATTCTATATGGGGCCCCTCAACCAAACAAGGCCCTACATCAGAAAATCTGATGGGCTGTGAAACTGCATCTTGTTGTGGGGGGCAGGTTTTAAACAACTTATAAATCAAATAAGCAGAATCAAAATTATTCTACAAAATCCTTTAAATCACAAAAAGAAAATTATAGCCTTATGCATATGATCACATTCAGTAATGGGTTTGAAGTCATACATTGAAAAACTTTTCCCACTCTAACAAAATATAAATTAAAGTTTATTTCATTCTGTATTAATTCATTCAATAATCTTCAGTGTAGTAAACATCAGGCAATAAGGTCATGCTATAGGAAAATGCGTGTCTTATCAAAGTCATTCTCATTGCAGAACTTAGGATGTATCTAAGAGTCATGTCTTTTATGCATAGTTAATTTTACTGAACTGAACACTGGGACTTTAAAGATTACAAAATATATCAATAATCTTCACATCATTTAGAAAGTTATAATAAATAACTGAATATTTTTATTAAAAAACATCAGTGTAGAAATACTCTCACTTCATTGTGCAAAAAAAAAAAAAAAAAATGCATACATAAATTACCCATGCCATTTCTGTCACAACTTTTCTTTCGGATATATGTACTGCCATTTTTTATTATCTTTTTTCTTTTTTTTTGTACTAGGAATCACACTCGGGTCCTTGCACTTGCAAAGCAGGTGGCAGCACCACTGAACTAAATCCCCAGTCCATGTACTACCATTTTATTACAATAAAACCAGACATGTATTTGTTTGCATAAAACCTAGCAATGAACCACAAAAATCCCATCACACCAGACAGCACAATTAAGAAAGAATCCATTTAACTCCTTAAGAGAAGAATCTTATTAACACCATTTCCCCAGTATTACTGTGCACATGAACAGGACTCAATATACATGTGATGAATAAACACTGAATGACGTATCTCTCCCAATGTACACGCACTTGTGATAAGAAACCTTTTCAAAGGATGATACCAATACCAGCCATCACAAAGGAAAGAAAATAACAGATGTGATGCACAATGAAATATCAAAATGGAAAAGGGGGCTGGGGATTTGGCTCAGTGACACCACACCTGCCTCACAACCATAAGGTCCTAAGTTCAATCCCCGGTACCGAAAAAAAAAAAAAAAAAAAAAAAAAAAAAAAAAAAAGAAAAAATGAAAAA